CAAAATGAAAAGCTGGCTTTTTAAAAAGATAAAAGAAATTAATAAATCTTTAGCCAGACTAAGAAAAAAAGAAGACCCAAATAAATAAAATCAATAATGAAAAAGGAGACATTACAACTGAAAGCATAGAAATTCAAAGGATCAATAGTGAGGCTACCATGAGCAACTATAGATCAATAAATTGGAAAATCCAGAGGAAATTATAAATTCCTAGATACATACAACCTACTAAGATTGAACCATGAAGAAATCAAAAACCTGAACAGACCAATGGAAGTAGCAACATGGAAGCCATAATAAACAGTCTCCCAGTTTAAAAAAAAAAAAAAGTCTGAGAGCCAATGGCTTCACAGCTGAATTTTACCAAACATTTGAGGAAGAACTAATACCAACACTACTCAAACTATTCCAAAAAATACAGAAGGAGAAAATGCTGCCAAATGCATTCCGCGAGGCCAGTACTACCCTGACACCAAAGCTAAAGACACTTCAAAAAAAACAAAACTATAGGCCAATATGTCTGAAGAATATTGATGCAAAAAATCCTAAACAAAGTACTAGCAAACCAAATTCAGCAATACATTTAAAACATCATTCGTCATGATTGACTAGGATTTTTCGCAGGGATGAAAGTTTCAACATATGCAAATCAATCAATGTTATACATCACACAAACAGAATGAAAGATAAAAACCATAGATCATTTCAGTTCATGCTACAAAAGTATAATAAAAGTCAACATTCCTTCATAATTAAAAATTCCTCAAACACTGGGTATTGAAAGAACATACCTCAACACAATGAAAGTCATATATGATAGGGCAATAGTTAGTCTCATACTAAATGGGGAAAAGCCTTTTCACTAAGATCTGAAACAAGATGAAGATGCCCACATTCATGATTGTTATCCAATATAGTACTGGAAGTTCTAGCTAGAGCAATCAGACAAGACAAAGAAATAAAGGGCATCCACACTGAAAAGAAGAAGTCAAATTATCCTTGTTTGCAGATTATATGACCTTATCTTTGGAAAAACCTAAAGACCCCACACAAGAATCATTACTACCAGTAAACAAATTCAGTAAAGTTGCAGAATACAAAATCAACATACAAAAATCAGTAGCATTTCTATATGCCAACAATGAATAATCTGAAAAAGAAATCAAAAAAGTAATCCCATTTCTAATAGCCACAAATAAAATTAAAACCTAGGAATTAACTGAACCAAAGAAGTGAACCATCTCTACAATGAAAACTATAAAACACTGATGAAAGAAATTGAAAATGACACAAAAGAGTGGAAAGATATTCCATGTCTATGGATTGGAAGACTCAATGTTGTTAAAAATGTCCATACTACCCAAAGAAATCTACAGATTCAATGCAATGCCTATGAAAATGCCAATGGCATTTTTCACAGAAATTTTTTTAATCCTAAAATTTATATGGATTAACATCACAAAAGACCTAGAAAGCCACAAAAGACCCAGAAAGCCAAAGCTAACCTGAGCAAAAAGAACAAAACTGGAAGAATCAGATTACCTGATTTCAAATTCTACTGCATAGCTATGGTAATAAAAACAGCATGTATTGGCATAAAAACAGACACATAGACCAATAGAACAGAATAGAGAACCCAGAAACAAATCCATACATCTACAGCGAACTTACTTTCAACAAAGCTGCTAGGAACACACATGGGGGCCGGGAGCGGTTACTCACACCTGTAATCCCAGCATTTTGGGAGGCCGAAGCGAGCAAATCACTTGAGGTCAGGAATTCAAGACCAGCCTGGCCACCACAGTGAAACCCCATCTCTACTAAAAATACATAAATTAGTCAGGCATGATGGCACACACCTATAATCCCAGCTACTCAGACTGCTGAGGCATGATAATCGCTTGAAACCAGGAGCCAGAGGTTGCAGTAAGCCAAGATCACGCCCATTGTACCATTGCACTGCAGGCTGAGTGAAAGAGCAAAACTGCATCTCGAGAAAAAGAAAAAACACAATAGATGAAATAGAACAGCAGAAAAATATGGCAAACATATTATATCTCTTTTTTCAATAAGAACTTTTTTAAATTTGTTCAAGGAATCTGCCCACCTTGGCCACCCCAAAGTGCTAGGATTGCAGGTGTGAGACACCACGCCTGGCCAACACATTATGTATCTCTACTCATTGCTGATAAGATCTCATTCTTTTTTATGGCCGAATAGTACTCCATTGTGTATATGTACCAAATTTTTTCTATCCTTTCCTCTGTTGACAGACATTTAGATTCCTTCCAAATCTTGACTATTGTGAATAATACTCCAATAAATATGACAGAGCAGTTATCTCTTCAATATCCTGATTTTCAATAAATGGGGGTGGGAAAACTGGATATCCATATGCATAAGATTGAAAATAGACCTCTATCTCTCACCATATACAAAAATCAAACAAAAATGAATTAAAGATTTAAATTTAAGACCTCCAAATATGCTTGCGTGCAGTGGCTCATGCTTGTAATCTCAGCAGAGGATTTGGGAGGCCAAGGCAGGTGGATCCCCTGAGGTCAAGAGTTTGGGATCAGCTGGCCAACATGGTGAAACCCGTCTCTCCTACAAATACAAAAACAAATTAGCCAAGCACGATGGCAGGCATCTGTAATCCCAGCTAGTAGAGAGACTCAGCCAGGAGAATCGCTTGAATCAGTGAGGTAGAGGTTGCAGTGAGTTGAGATTGTGCAATTGCACTCGAGACTGAGCAACAAGGGCAAAACTCTGACTCAAAAAAAAAAAAGTGGACAAATGAGATCACATCAAGTTAAAAAGCTTCTGCATGGCAAAGGAAACATCAACAAACTGAAGAGACAACACACAGGATGAAAGCAAATATCTGCAAACTACTATCTGACAAGAGATTAATAACTAGAATACATAAGAAGCTCAAACAACTCTATAGGAAAAAATCTAATAATACAATTTTTAAATGGGCAAAAGAACTGAATAAATATTTCTCAAAAGAAGACATACAAATGGCAAACAGGTATATGAAAAGGTGCTCAACATCACTGATCATGAGACCAATGCAAATCAAAACTACAATGAGATACCATCTTACCCTAGTTAAAATGGCTTTTATTCCAAAAGGCAGGAAATAACAAATGCTGGCAAGGATGTGGAGAAGAGGGAACCCTCATACACTGCTGGTGAGAATGTAAACTAGTAAAAACCACTATGGAGAACAGTTCGGAGGTTCTGCAAAAATCTAAAAAGAGAGTTATCATATGATCCAGCAATCTCACTGCCAGGTATATAATCAAAAGAAAGAAAAGCAGGATATTGAAGAGGTATCTGCACTCCCATGTTTACTGGAGTGTTATTCACAATAGGCAAGATTTGGAAGCAACCTAAGTGTTCAATAACAGATGAATGGATAAAGAAAATGTGGCCAGGTGCAGTGGCTCACGCCTGTGATCCCAGCACTTTGGGAGGCCGAGTTGGGCAGATCACGAGGTCAAGAGATCAAGACCATCCTGGCCAACATGGTGAAACCCCCTCTCTACTAAAAATACAAAAATTAGCTGGGTGTGGTGGTGCGTGCCTGTAGTCCCAGGTAGTCGGGAGTCTGAGGCAGGAGAATTGCTTGAACCCAGGAGGCGGAGGTTGCAGTGAGCCGATATCTCGCCGCTGCACTCCAGCCTGGCACCAGGCAACTGAGCAAGACTCTGTCTCAAAAAAACAAAAAAACAAAAAACAAAAAAAAAATGTGGTACATATACACAATGGAGTACTATTCAGCCATAAAAGAAGAATGAGATTCTGTCATTAGCAACAACATGGATGGAACTAGAGGTCATTACATTAAGTGAAATAAGTCAGGCACAGAAAAACAAACTTCTCATATTCTCACTTATTTATGGCAGCTAAAAATTAAAACAATTGAATGTAAGGAGATAGAGAGTAGAAGGATGGTTACCAAAAGCTGGGAAGGGTAGTCAGGGTGGGGGCAAATGGAAATGGTTAATAGGTACAAAAAAAAAATGAATAAATAAAACCTAGCATTTAATAGCACAACCGGGTGACCATAGTCAATCCTAATTTAATTGTACATCTTTAAATAACTGTAAGAGTATAATTGCATTGCTTGTAACACAAAGCATAAATGTTTGAGACGATGGATACTCGATTTACTATGATGTTACCACTACATCTTGCACGCCTGTATCAAAGTATCTCATATAACCCATAAATATATGTACCTATTATGTACCCACAAAAATTAAAGTTCACTTATCAGAGCACAATTTTCCTTTCTAATTCCTAACAGAAATAAAAGAACTTTTTAGTTCTACGTGTTTTTAGAAACACGTAGGCTGGGTGAGGAAAGAGCGATGAGTTTGAGTTAAAACTCTTTTTCATATATTCCTGGAAAATCTTAGAAGAGACATTTAGACATAAGCTACTTATAAAAGTAAGCAAGTAGTTTTTGAAATTGTGTTTTGGCTTTTGTTTTCTTAACCAAGAGTAAAAGCAATGACCGCCATTGGGTCCCAAGAGTACATCCAAGGACTGTTCCCCAGCAGACACAGAGACACCCCCCCGCGTCTTGCTCTGCATTGCTCCAATCATCTCTAGGCCACGCCTGCCGCAATGCATTGTTGGGAGGCGGGGCCTACATAGATAAATCCTGGTGAGCCCAAGTCACCTGACGTTCCAGGTTCCTAGTCGTCTGACGTGCATCCGGGTCTGCGCCGGGAAGGCCCAAGATTCCTTCGCGCGAGGCCCAGCCTCCCGACAGGCGACGATCCCCCAGCAGCCCCGACTGCGGTCTCCAGGAGGCGCCCCTGGAGCTCCGAGAACTCGCCCCGCGTCTCGCGGTCCTGTGCCCCGTCAGCCCCAACCCGCCTCGCCTACCACCGACACCTGTTACCTCAAAGAGGACTTCGCTGCCCGCGCTCCCCACGTCCCCTGCCAGGCCCAGGAACGCCGTCCGTGGCGCCGTCGAGATGATGGGCAGTCGACCCCGCAGCCCCAGCGCCTGCCCTGCGCCCTGTTGGGGACCGCAGTTAGGAGGACCCGGCCCTGCCAAGCGCCGCCGATTGGATGAGCCTGCGGGCCTCGAACCCCTCGCGGCGCCCAGCCTAGTAGACCCGGCGGGGGCCCCGGCCGCGGACGCGCTCACCTTCGTGATGGTCCTGGCCGCGGGCAGTTCCCTGAAGGTGTCCCTGAACGACGACAACCTGGTGCTGGTGCCCGCGCCCACGTCGATCATGCGAGTGTCTCTCGGTGGACACACCCTCTTCCTGATCCCCGAGGTCCTCCTAAGCTCCGTCGACGAACGCTCAGGAGCGCAGGGCGACTTGTCTGCCTTCCTAGTAGCGGATGTTTTCCTGGGCGCTCTCAGGGAGGACGTCGTCGTCGAGCAGGAATTCTGCGCGTCTGTCCCAGAGGTCGCCGCCCAGGAGGAGGTCTACGAGGAGGACGCGGACCCCGAGTTCCTGGAGCTCTGGATGGACTCCCCAGCCGGCTCGGCCGCTGGGCCCTACCCCTCCGCTAGAAGTATGTGCGGCCTCTACCCGGAGGGCCTCATCCCAGAGCCCTGTGCTCTGGCCCCCAACCCCAGTTCAGAGAGACGCCCTCCACGCCCCATCTGCGACCAGGAATTCCGCTTTCTGGAGCCTGTTCCCACCTCACCTCTCCAACCTCTACCGCCCTCTCCGAGTCCAGGTCCCCACGCGCGCCCGGAGCTCCCAGAGCGCCCTCCGTGCAAGGTCCGGAGACGACTGTTTCAGGAATGAACTGCCTCCCACAATCCCTTGCCACTGGCTGCGGGTTCTGGTGGGTCCACCAAGACTCACTGTGAGGACTTGCCACCGCTTGGAAATGCAGTATCTTCATTCGTTGGCAATGAGCAGTTGCATTACTGTTGTTTGAGTGGGTTGGTTGGTTGGCTGGCTAGTTGGTTGGTTTTTTAGCAGAATCACTTGGCAAGTGGCAGGCAAGGACATCAAAAAAGAAAAGTAGATTCTGGCAAGCACCTTTATCAAGGAGAGTAGACCACACATAGCCAGTCATGGATTTTCAGATCCCTTGCCTTTGCTGTAGGAGATGTTACTTCTGCCTTTGTCACCTTCAGCCAATTCTGTCCTCCGTTTCACCCTACTCTGGCTTAAAGCTCCCTTCACTTTTCTTTCAAATTCCCCTCTTATTTTAATCACCTCCCCAGACACCTGTCAGTTCTCTCCAATCCAGATCATCGTCTTCCCTTGTTTTTGCAATTGCGAATTTACCTATATGGTTTCTCCCAACATCCTCTGAGGTGCTGCTGACCACTGATTTTATTTTCCACTTGCTTTCCTTAACACCTTTTCCTGGACCTGGACAATCAAGATAAATGCGTATTAGATTAGATAGTAAACAAACAACATTCCAATGTAATGCACTAGACCTTCTGGAAATGTTTCTACAAATAAGAATTTTAAAATTAGCGAAAGCAGTATTTAATGAGGGAAGGTAGGGAGGAAGTTGTGACACTTTCATTCCAGCAACAGCTTGTACAGTGACATATTCTACGTCCTTTAACCGATGGGTATTGCTGAATTTCAGGGCAGTCTGGGCTTCACCTTGATTTCCTCTCAGGGGGACTCATTCAACTTCACAGCATGGACATTTAGTCTAATTTATTTTTGACAGTTTTTTCATGTTCTTGGGCCCATCACCCTGAATTGGCAGTCGTTTTTTCTTAGTACTATTTCCTTAATGTCTTTTTTACTATAAAGAAGAGAAAATATTACAGATAATGTTGTCATATCCTTTGATCCCCACTCTTCTCCATTCCCAGGAGATTCACGCCATGACACGGAGTTGGTGGATATCATTCTAGTTAATATATGAATGCTACATATACATGTGTATAGGTATAAATAAGCAATGTTTATGTTGTTTTCTGGACAATTAAATTTACATAACTACCTCATATTCCCCAGTTTACTTTTTTCTCAAGTTTATTTTTGAGATAACTTATAAATATGTGTAATTCATTTCTTCTAAAAATTCCAGTGTACATTATATGTCATATTTTATTTGTTATTTATTTATTTGTTGATTTATTGGAGAAAGGGTCTCCTTCTGTCACCCAGGATGGAGGGCAGTGGCACCATCAAGTGACCTTGAACTCCTGGGCTCAAGAGATCCTTTGCCTCAGCCTCCCAGTAACTGGACTACAGGTGCACACTGCCACAGCCAGCTAAATTTTTTAATTTTTTTTTTTAAGAGATGGAGTTCACTATGTTGCCCAGACTGGTTTCAAGCTAATGGCCTCAAGCAGTCCTCTTGACTCAGCCTCCAAAGGTGCTAGAATTACAGGAGTGCACTGCTGTACCTGGCCTCAGATTTATTTTTATTTCTTTTTTGGTTTGGGTTTTTTTTTTTTTTTTTTGATACTAGGTTTCTATCAGTTGGAGTATAATAGTGCAATCATAGCTCACTACAGATTTGAACTCCTGTGCTTAAGCAATTCCTCTCACCTCAGCCTCCCAAATGGCAGGGACTACAGGCACGAACCACTACACCCAGATAATTTTTTGTGGAGAGAGGGTCTTGCTCGGTTGCCCAGGCTTATCTTGAACTTCTGGACTCAAGCAATCCTGCCTCCCAAAATGCTGGGATGACAGGCATGAGTCACTCCACCCATCCTCAGATTTCTTAAATATGATACCAAAAGCTCAATCCTTAAAGAAATATTCTGATGACTTGGGCTTCATCCAAACGAAGAATTTTGTTCTCCAAAGACACTGTTAATGAAAATGAAAAGACAAGCCACAAATGGAAAAAAAAAATCACAATGCAAATATTTAATAAAGGACTTGTGTGTCTAGAATAATCAAGAACGTTCAAAATTGAGCAAGAAGGTAATAGGCCGGGTGTGGTGGCTCACGCTTGTAATCCCAGCACTTTGGGAGGCCAAAATGGGTGTATCACTTACTTGAGGCCAGGAGTTTGAGACCAGCCTGGCCAACATGGTGAAAACCCATGTCAACTAAAAATATTTTTTAAAAATTAGCCAAACATGGTGGCAGGCACCTGTAATCACAGTTACTTGGGAGGCTGAGGCAGGAGAATCGCTTGAACCTGGGAGGTAGAGGTTGCAGTGAGCCACGATCGCAAATCCAGCCTGGGCAACAAGAGCAAAACTCCATCCTAAAGAAAAGGCAATAAAATCAAGACATTTAAAAATAAAACTTTCACAATGACTAGCATCAAATCAAAGATTATTAAGTATATGAATGAGCAGGAAAATGTGACCCATAAACAGGAGTAAAAATAGTTGATAAAGCTCCTTATTTTTTTTATATTAGTCCTTTATCAGATGTATTGTTTGTAAATATTTTCATCTAATCTGTGGGTTGTCTCCTCATTCTCTTGTTTCCTTTGCTGTACGGAAGCTTTTTAGTTTGATTCTATCCTATTTGCTTATTTTTGCTTTTCTTACCTGTGTTTTGGGGTCATATCCAAAAAACCTTTACCTAGACGATGTCGTGAAGCTTTCTCCCTCTGTTTTCTCCTAACCTTTTTACAGTTTGAGGTCTTACATTTAAATCTTTAAACCATTTTGACTTGTTTATTTCTTTTCTTTAAAAATCGAATCATATTTTCTTTGCCAAATTTACTTACCAATAGTTTGTTTGTTTGCTTGTTTTTTGAGATGGAGTCTCACTCTGTCACCCCGGCTGGAGTGCAGTGAAATGGTCTCAGCTCACTGCAACCTCTGCCTCCTGGGATCAAGCAGTCCTGCCACCTCAGCCTCCCAAGTAGCTGGGATTACAGATGCAAGCCACCATGTCCAGCTAATTTTTGTATTTTTTGTAGAGAAGTGGTTTCACTCTGTTGCCCAGGCTGGTCTCGAGCTCCTGAGCCCAAGCAATCCACTCACCTCGGATTCCCAAAGTGCTGAGATTACAGGTATGAGATGTCATGCCCAGCCAAGTTGAATTTTTTTAGATGATATGAAACAAGAATCCAATTTCATTCCTCTGCATGTGGATAAACAGTTTTGTATCTGCACTCCCATGTTCACTGCAGCATTATTATGAGTAGCTAAGATATGGAGCCAACCTATGTATTTATCATTATATAAATAGGTAAAGAAAATGTGGCATATATACACAATGGAATACTATTCAGCCTTAAAATAGAAGGAAATTCTGTCATTTGTGACAACATTAAGAACCTGGAGGACATTATGATAAGTGAAATAAGCCAGGCCCAGAAGTACAAATGCCCTAAGATTCCACTTATGTGCAGAATCTAAAACAGTTGAACTTGTAGAAGTAGAGTAAAACAATGATTACCAGAGGCTGGAGGAGGAAGGTGGATGGGGAAAAGGGAGATGTTGATCAAAGGGTACAGAGTTTCAGTTAGACAGGAGGAATAATCTTTAGTGATCAGTTGCACAGAATGGTGACTATAATAAAAATGTAATGTATTTTTCAAAATTGCTGAAAGAGTAGGTTTTTAATGTTTCATCACAAAAAAATAAGTATGTGAGGTGATGAATTTGTTAATTAGCTTGATTTAATCCTACAATGTAAACATATATTAAAACATCCATTGTACCCCATAAATACATATAATTATTATGTCAATTAAAAATAAAACAAAAAATAGTTGGTAGAAAGCGATGTAGATTAACAGAAATGATAAAACTAGCAAGCAAGAACACTAACAGCTATTATAAAGATGCTCAGTATGCCCCAGGATTTTAAACAAAACCTAAGTATAATAAGGACAGGATTTAAAATATTAAAAAAGAACCTAATAGAACTTCTAGAGATAAAAAATATAATATATGAGATGAAAACTTTATTGGATGGTAGTAAATACTGCAGATGAAAAAAACTAAGAGAATGTAAGACTCACAATCAAATCTGTCAAAACTAAAGTACCCAGAAGCTGAAAAAAGAAGTAGCTTTTGCAATAATATCAAGCAATCTAATATACATGTAATTGGAATCTCAGGAGGAAAAGAATGGGAGGGAGGGGTGATTTTGAAGTTCAGTGAAATCTATAAACCTCCAAATATAAGAAGTTCAGTAAGCCTCAAGAGGGTAATCATGCATACACACACATACACACACACACACACCCAAAGCATATAGTCAATTTACTGAAAACTGGTGATAAAGATGAAATCTTTAAAAGTATCCAGAGGAAAAAAAGACACATTAAATAGATAAAGATAAGAAACATAACAGTTTTCTTATCAGTAACAATACAAACAATGTAATGACAGTTTTAAAGTGCTGAAAGAAATAAAAACTGTCAAACCATAATTCTAAATCCAGTAAAAATATCCTACAAAAATGAAGGCAAAATAAACTTTTCCAAGAAAAGAAAAAGGAAGAGTATTTTTCATAAGTCAGTTTGCCCTATAAAGAATATTAATGCAAATTATTCACTTGAAAGGAAATGATACCATATGGAAACCTGGATCTACACAAAGGATTGAAGACCAAAAAAGGTAAATTATGGACAAGCGTAAAAAGATATTTTTCTCATTTTTAATTTCTTTAAAGGATAAATGATTGTATATAGCAAAAATAGCCAAAGTGTATTGTAAAGATTATAACATACATAGAAGTAGAGTATGACAACCATTACTGGAAGAACATGAGGTAAAATCCAAATGCACTTGTGTAAGTTAGTACAATATTATTTGAGGAAAGACTGTGGTAAGTTAAAGGTGCATATTGTAACATCTAAAGCAACCACCAAAAATTAAAACAGAGATATAGCTAGT